TAACTTGTATACAAAATGGATATTTTATAGTTAAAAATAATAGTAAAAAATAATTACATTCCAATACTGAAATGCCGACGTATGTGTGTAATAGTGTCTCAATGACGATGAGAAGGCGCAAGATGAGACGTGTACGTGTGCATTTCCATAGACGAATTATTGGGGCTGTCAGAACACCTGTCACAGTTTCATATCAATAACGGAGCCTCACAACTCGCTCGCTCCGTTTCTTTGGCACGGCAAAAATCCTCCATATTTTTTTTTCATTAACATTTTGTCGAATTACATACAAAAGCCAAAGTACAATTAACGCTCGTGTAAATAAAATGTACAAAATAAAACAAAAAACGCTTTCATACATTCAAACGCGACCGTTCAAAAGAACGCGCGCGCGTGCCCCTTGCAAAATATCGGCAAGGCGGTAATGCTGAAAACTGCACAAATGGCGTCTGACAACCCTGACCTTATCTGACATGCATGACCCTCGTTCGTTCGATCCTCTGCATTTGAACGCTCATGATAATAATAATAATAATAATATACGTGGCAGCGTAGCAGACGACCGACGGACGACAATACACACGACGCTTCGAATTACGAGAATTCAAAAATACGGGGAGTTCATTGAAAATCATCGAAGAATTTTGTTTTCAACGACGCATTGTCCATGGTTATTATTACGTCACGCACCGTGGCGGTTGCCCGGATGACAATGCGTGCGAGATAGTGCTTACGCGTCACCAAGCGGCGACTAAGAACCACAAAGTTACACGGGACTTTTGGAGAAAGGAACACCCGATACTTTTGTCGCGTTTCGCAGCGTTTCGTGTTTGCGTACACACGAACAATTTTATATACTAGTCTACATGTGAGAGTAAAGCTACGATGCCAAATCCGGCCACATTACAGTTAAATTACGCAATTAATTTTTTTGCCACGTAGTAATCACATCTCCGAAAGCACTGAACAAGACGATGCCTTCGTCATCGACTAAATAGGCAGCTGCTCTCGTCCACAGCTTGTTAGATACGGGCATGCCTAGTTCCGTTTGCGCGTAGCACCAGTATCGGCTTCGAAATGGGGTTGCGCTGCCACCTAGTGGAGGCTTTCGCTTAAAACTTGTCACCCGGAGAACATGCTTTTAATTAAACATGTTGCGAGGTGGCGATTAACTTTACAAGAAACCCAAACTGGCTGGCTACACGCGTTTCCCGAAGCATTCACAATTCAATTTCATCATAACATGTCTTCAATTTTCAATCAATCAATCTTCAAGCAATGGAAGCGGAAACACACTTGAATTGCGACAAGTTGTAAACATTTTCCTTCTCGCACCCAAAATGGGCAAACGCCACGCTCGAGATTTTAAACTCTTCTGAGCGTGTAGACTGGAAAATATGTTCTTGGCCGTACAGTACAACAAAAAACAGCACCAACCTTACACATACCTTGTCGCGATCAAGTGTGTTATCCTTCGTCGAGAGCAAACGAGGGCCATGCAAACAATTTCGCGCTCGCAACGAACGCGGCGATACTATATCATACACGAGACAATCGATACAAAAGATGATGAGGATGACGGTGAATGAGGCGGCGGACGCGCGCAAAAATCCCGCGGGATCGCCCGCACGCCACGACGACGACGACGACGACGGCAGTCTGTACAACGAACGCGCAGCGGGGCGGGTTACGAGTCACACGGCAACTTCCGAGCAACTTCCGAGCGTCCGATCAAGGGGGCGCTCCAACGCCATCTCGGCGTCGCCCGCTCCCCCGCCGCCGCCGCCGCCGCACGTCTTCCGCAGCGCGTTGTTCTCCCGCAGCAGCTTCTCGTTGTCGTCCCGCAGCCGCTCGATCTCCGACCGGAGCACGTTGATCTCGTTGAGCCTCTGCTCGGTCGAGTCGGGCCGCGGCGCGACGGCGCGATGCAGCGTCTCCAGCTTTGCTTCCATCTGCAGGTAGTCCTGCACCAGCTCCTCCTTGCTCATGCTCTCCAAGCGCTCGGCGTGCACGGTCTCGTACTCCTCCGAGAAGTCGCGCTCAAGAAACTCCTCCTCGTCCGACGGAGAGCTGTAGAAGTCGGCGTCGTCGTCGTCGGCGGCGACGAGCAGCGGCGCGTCCGGTTCGGTTGCAGCGTCGTCGCCGATGCTGCTGCCGCTCGCCTCGCGGTGCCGGTGGTGCGGGTGATGAAGGATGCCGTTGAGATCCGGCTCCGGCTCGTTGTGGTCGGCCATCACGAACTGCGTCGTGTTGAACGGCGCCATCGGCTGGCCCTTGTGGAAGCGCTCCTCGCGAACTTGCTCGGCGCGCTTCGATTGGCGTTCCTCGAGCTCTTTGCGCTCGGTCCACGACATCTTCTCGAAAGGCTTCCAGCGGCGCCGGTTTCCTGCTGCCTTCCTGCGGTGCTTCTTCTTCTTGTTGCTTCCGTGAGGGTCGTTCTCGTCGCCGCTCATGCTGTCGTGCGATCGCTTCCCGCTGTCCGAATCCGTTTTCGCCTTGCCCTCTTGATTACTATCGATCCCTTCGGGGCTCTTTTCCGACGACGAGACATCCCTGCCGCGCTCGCGAGCGCCCATATTTTTATTCTGGACGTTGTTTGTAGAACCGTCAGGTTTTAGACGCTCTGTGTCTAAACCGTTAAGTGATATGAGCTGATCGTTCATATTCAAAGTTTCCAAGCATTAATACACTTACAGTTTGCGAAAAAGATGTTTGTTTTGGCGTTTTTCCTTCTTAACTTTCACATAATTCTCCCTCGAATGCTCCCTAACACTGTACACTGGGACGCCCGCCCCAAACTATATATAGGTGCGCTGCACACACCGACACCTCCGCGCACAGAAGGAAAATATAGTTCGAAGACGTATTACCACAGATTTTGGTCTTAGTCAAACATCATTGACAAAAAAGACCTAGCACATTTTGATTTCTAGTGTGTCTAGTTTATGAATGCGTACTTCACCTAAGCTAACGTCCGCGAACACAGTATTTTATAGCTTGTTTACCAAAGCGCTGCGGCATTATCTAAAAGTAGTACTGTTGTCGTCAGCATCGTCAGTAGCGGCTGGCTCGTTACACAGCGTGTCGTATCAACGTATAACGTTACAATCTCGTGAGATGAGATATCGTGGAGCACTCCTATCCTCCTATCTGTCGCGAAGTTAATGTTAATAAAATGCGTTGCATTTCCTTCCCCCGCGAACCATTTACACTATGTAAAATAGCAGGGTTATTGATTGCAGATCAAAGCTGTATTTTATTATAATCTATATTATTAGGACGCCCTGTGAAGCTTTGCTCTACTCTACACCCATGACCCAACTCGGTATGATTATTACTGGAATAGCTCTTAATTAGTAGTCTTAGTTCATAAAAATACAATTAGTTAACATGATTAAATCGAATAACGGCAAGCATATTGAAGGTCATCAGCAGCACCTATATGTATTTACTCGGAAACCTAGCTAGTTTGTGTGTTTGCACATGTATCAATTTCTTATCACAATATATGTTTTGCACCGAGAAGCTTGCGCATTACACTGAAACCATACAAGAGCTTTTCAAACTGAATTCATTTGGCGACGCTGATGTGAGCATCTGATGTGAGTATAGTAATATAATATAACGTCGTGTATTGTACGTAGTACAACGTTGTGTATTGTGATGGATTGTATGTGCTGTTGTCATCAGATCAAATCATGTATTGCTAATATCATTCAACATCGTGTCTTGGAATGTAATAATTTATGTACTTTAACTAATGTGTATGGCTGACTAGATGACCGCAAGGTCTTTTCGCCATACCTGTGCATTATAATAACAATTAGTTACAACTTTTTAATTTTGCACTGTCTGATTTATCCTTTTAGCACGAATAAAAATATTGAAATCTTGAAAATCTTGAAAAAATCTGATTTAATTAGTCATCGCGAATAATATATTAGTGTCGCGATCGAGCTAGGGCATGCATCAAGATATGTCATCACGTACCTCCTCCAGTAACTTCACGTCCGTAAAAATAAACGAAGGGTGGGTGACCTGCTCTCACTGTGTGTACCAATTCTGGACGCGCTGTTTCATCTAATCACCCCCAAGATAAGAATGGAAGCTAGTGGATCCTCAAATCTCTGTCACAACATGTTGTTTACTAAAATCGGCTCTCGTACCATATCAGTTCCGTTTTTTTTTCAATCTTGGGGGTCATCCTTGATGGAAGGATTGTTACTGCCAGTAACTGGGTATACCCAGTACTGCCAGCAATACTGGGTATTTATATATTACCATAAATTCATTGTATAATCTTTACCTATGTTCGCGGTATTACCACATTATAATAACACACCATCTTCCCTAATTAATTTCAATGACCACATGTGAGTGTTATGCGCCGTATAATCTCTGTGGATAGTGCGGGACAATAGGTGTGGGGGGTGGGGCACACTCCTTTCACTGTCCATGCTAACAAAAATAGCAGGTGAGCACCAACTTCCCATGGTAAGTTGAAGGGTTAGGGTTAATTATAGAACTTGAGCATGCTCTACAATAGCACACAATTTTAGTACTAACTTGCATAATAATAGTTATGATGATAATAATAACAAGAATAATAATGATAATAATAGGACCCCCCCCCCCCACTACCACACCTGACAGGGCCGGCGACATAGCTGACCACTAAAGCTGAGAGGGTCTATGTCCCCCATGGTACTGCCGGAACGTACCCTGGGTACAATCCGATATATCGGAACGTACCCTGGCACTATCTAATATGCCGGACCGTACCTCGCCTACTCCACTAACAAGTCTATAGGGAGTCGCCTACGCCTACTCCAAACCCTAATCCTAACCATATCAAATAGTGACCAGGGTATGTTCCGGTATACCGGACCGTACCTAGGGTACGTTCCGGCAGTACCCTGGGGGACATAGACCCTATGAGCCTCACTAAACACAAAAATATTTTCGTGTACTTCATTGTACTACATTCATACCTATTAATGAGGTAACGGCAACATTTCTGTACAGGGAATGGAATATTGTGTGCAAACGTATTTCTTAAATGATTGTTAGAATCAATTATTTGGATTACATCTGTGTAAAATGTTTCCTAACGAATAAGTACATCAGGTAGTTTTAGGCATTGAAAGGGATCCATTATCAACCAAATGAATAATTTAATACAAGTTACATTGCCGGCAACATATTGCTCAAACCAGTAGAACACATTTTCCTGCAAGTATGGTATTTTTATTTGAATATACTGTAAGATAAACCCGATTTTTGTGAAATATTTGTGTGAAGAAAGAGAAGAAATATAAAATAAATGACTTGCAAATATTACAGACATGTCGTAGAAGAAAAAATCTTTCTTTGTTCTAATATCACATTCTATTCAATCATCAGAAAGGATCACAGAAGCACTACCCAAGCTACGAACTGATGATGCCAGAACAATGCTGCACAACACAAGTAAGCCACACCTACCCTTTGTTTTAACTTCATAAACTCCACCTCCAGATCATTTTTTATACTTGCAAGCAATCGCATTCAAGATGCGATGAGACAAAATTACATAAAACTAGAATATAGAAATCTAACCACCCACAACAAATGCAAATGGTTCCAGCAACAATCCAGATGCCATTATCCGAGTTGAATGGACTATATATGGCTAGCTAGCTGTTGCTTGGTTTAAACATAGAACAAGAATTCTCATTTCACTTGTAACATCAAATATGCGATCAGACATTACTTTCAAGGTTCGATAATAGCCAGATTCAAAATTAACAAGAAATATCAACTCTTTTTACTTTAAAATATTTCCCCTGAACTGTCAAGATAGCCCAAATAATTATTATACTGAACAACAGGATTTTGTACAATCAAAATTGGCCAGTACATGATGTGGCTATGCAATCCGGCAACACATTGCAAGCACAAGCGGAGCAGTAAGCAATCCCAGCGCCACCCAGTGAGCAAAAATGGAACTAACGCCATTGCTGACGAGAGTAATCTGAACCAGGCTGCTGCTGTTGCTGCGGCTGCTGCTGTTGCTGCTGTTGCTGCTGCGGATAAGCAGGATTTGGGGGCTGCTGTCCTGGATATGGCTGCTGGCCAGTTTGCCACGGCTGCTGCTGCTGCTGCTGCTGCTGCTGCTGTTGAGGGTATCCTGGATATGCCTGCGGGTAACCACCAGGGTAGCCTGCAATCGATAACCACATAACGATTATCACTAAGTCTATATTCTGGTCTATATAATATAGTCTATTCTAATATATTCCAGTCTATATAGTTCTATATAAGTCCTAGACACTATTAAGTCACTACGACGGAAATGCATGCCATCCGAACAATTACTCATTCGTCTATTACTGCGGAAAAAAATTGTATTGCTCGTAACTCCCAATACTGCGAAGCTACAATAGGGTTCACCATCCCCATAATTTTTGATGTATGTATGATGTATGTATGTATGTGCGTGCGTGCGTGCGTGCGTACGTAGGAGGTACGTAGGAGGTACGTAGGAGGTACGTAGGAGGTACGTAGGTTGTACGTAGGTTGTACGTAGGTTGTACGTAGGTTGTACGTAGGTTGTACGTAGGTTGTACGTAGGTTGTACGTAGGTTGTACGTA